CGGTCAGAAGCAGAATTGTCCCTTCAAGGTGGGCTAGCTGAGATGGAGGGTAGAGAGTAACGTGAAGAGTGGAGGTTTGGGGTGACTGTGTGAACAGTCATAAGGAAGAGGGTAGCAATAAAAAATGTGACCACGTGCCAGTTAAAATAAGACAGCCTACAACACCATCCAGGGTGACCCCTCTGTGACTGAGCCAATGAAATGTGGTATTCTCACAAAGCCAATAGAACGCAATGCAGGTGCCAAGAAGTGGATGTCAGAGATAGGCAACAACATTCATATGTGTTTCAACGGAAAGATAGGTCAGCTAGTTTACTGGCTAAATTTACGTCAACTTGGCACAATCTAGAGTCAAGAGAGAACCTCAACTGAGATGAAATCGGCACGTGGTAAGCCTGTGGTGGATTTTCTTGGTTGGTGATACATAGTAAGACCCTGTCTCAAAACAAACAAACCATGAAACTCCCAACAGGAGAGGGAACTGACTGTGAGACTGGAGAAGAAGCCAGCACACAGTGTTCTTTCACAGGCTCTGCTTCACTTCCTGCCCGCACTTCCCTCACTTCCCTCAGCAACTGGACAGAAAGTTGAAATTAATCTCTTTTGATTTTGGTCAGTGTTTTATCACAGCAATAGAAAGCAAACTAGAGCACCATTGCATCTTTGAGCTCCTCTGACAAGTCAGGCTCCAACCTGGCCCGAGACACCATAGCATCTCTGAGTTCCTCTGACAAGTCAGGCTCCAACCTGGCCCGAGACACCATAGCATCTCTGGGCTCCTCTGACTTATCAGGTTCCAACCTGGCCCGAGACAAAATGCCTTGATTTCCTGAAGGCGTGTGTCTCGAGAGCGATAGGCTGCAGGGCAGCATCAGAGCTAAGTTCTCCCGGAAGTCCAGTGAGTGAGAGCCGACTAAAATACAGTGAAGTAACATTACCCTGCCTCTGATCCATTGGCCTTGTGCCCAGCTGACCATGATGTCAATTGTTCATAACTTCCTAGCTATATTAGTTGGGGTTTCTATTGCTGTGATGAAACATCACGACCGGAAGTAAGGGAGGAAAGGTCTTACTTCATCTTACAGCTTGTGGTCATCGTTCAGGGAAGTCAGGGCCAGAGCCGATGCAATGGCCATGGAGGAACACTCACTGGCTTGCTCTTCATAGCTTACAGCTTGCTTTTTAAACTTTTATTAATTCTTTGTGTCTTCCAATCTCACTTATCTCCCCATCCCCTTGCATCCACTCTCTGCCCTTGCAAATGCCCCAGCAAAGCAGAACAAAAATTCGATGAAAAACCAAAAACCAAATACCAAAAAGGAAGAAGCAGAAGAATTTCCTTGCGGAGGCTGTAGCGTGGCCCATTGAGTCACACAATTCACCCTTTACTCTGTTCATGTTTACTCACGAGTGTTCTTCACCACGAGTCACTGGAGTCATTGGTCTGGCCTGAGGTCTCTGTCTTCTGCTACACCACTAATAATGGGCTCTCACTGGGGCTCCTATTGGATATGCTGTTGTTGTCCTCTGTGGTAGAGATCCTGATGTTTTGAATCTGAAGGTTCATGCCCTTCACATGCTCCAGCAGGTTTGTAGATGAGGTGGATGCTGAGGTGGGCTAACTCATGGCCCTGGTTCTGGGCCTGGGTGGTAGCTGGGTTGGTCAGCTGCGAGTTTTCCTTCATCACTGCCTGGGTGAGCTCTCCAGCACTGCTCTTGCTAGCTCACCCAACGCAGCGTGCAGGAAGGAGTGGGGCCAGTTCTGCTCTCAAGTCCTCAGGTCCAGCTCACGCATTCACACCACCAGGGCCAGCTCTGTTGCTTTTGCTCAGGTGAGGTGCAGGGCCCTCTCTCCTGATTGCTGTGGGGGGTGGCATATGAGGGGGAGTGCAGTCAGCTGTCCTGCTTTCATGCCAATAGGGTTGACTCACCTGTGCTCCAGGGTCAGTTCTAGTATGGTGCCCAGTGGGGTGCAGGGCCCGCTCTCCTATGTGCTATAGCTGATGAGGGACAGGACCAGCTCTCATGAAGGTAGCAATAGGTGGATGGGGAAGGACAGCTTTCCCTCACCTATGCTATCATATGGCAGATGATAGGGGTGCTGGGTCAACTCTGCGCTCTCCTGCCCTCAGGGCTGGCTCACCTACATGCCCTCTGCATCCCTGACAATAGAGTCAGCTCTAGTGTGCTGCCCAGACAGGGTGCAGAGTCCGCTTTCTTGTATGCTGCAGCTGGTGAGAGGCACGGCTAGCTCCCCCATTTTCATGACCCCAGGGCCAGCTCTCTCAACTGCCAAAGGTGGGAATGGGTGAGGGGGGAAGGACATCTTGCTTGCCCTATCCTAAATAGAAAACCAGAGATTTCTCATTGCACTTGGGATCATTTCTGTGTTCTTTAGCTTTTCAGTTGGATGCTTTCATTCAAGCAAGAGGAGAAGAGAGACTGAGAAGGGACTGACATGGTATAAAAAATTAACTTTAAGAAGAACAGGGAAAGGGAGCCGTAAGAGAGTGATGGACATTAGGAAAACAGATGAACTATTTTATGCTCATATACAAAACCCTACACGGCAAGGGAACTGGAGTAGAGTACCACACATCAACATGGATGAACCTAGCAAAGAGAACACTACACAGGAGAAAACTTGATAAAATTTGTGTCTAATTGGCAGCGATATTAGGACATGCATTGCAGGGAGGCACAGCAAGCTCAGAAATTCGGCTGTCTCAGCGTCAGAGAAGACTAGTTGTGCTGAAAAGAACGGTTACATGGGCTCCCCCATAGAAATGGTGACGTTTCATTCCAAGCTCGTTGGTGGATACATGAAGTCACTATCTATTTTAACTTAAATGTTGTACAGAAAAGCAGTTGGCCATTGATAGGGAATTGGAGGGGAGTAGGTGCCTATGTGGTGTGTGTGTGTGTGGTGTTGGCAAAAGTCTGGAATGTTGTGAACATAGTGTCTAAAGTTTGATGGAGGACTATCATTATTCTAGAGACTGGATACGTCAGGCCAGTTCTTAGGATTTAGGCTACCCTCACAATTCTTCATTTTCCACACCTGTAAAGCAGATACGTAACCGTCTATTCCTTGTAGGGGAAAAGTGAAACTCTCTGTATTTAAATGAATTAACTGAGTGTAGTGGTACCTTCCTATGTTCCTGAAACTCAGGAGGCTGAAAGAGGATGACAAAGTCCAGACTAGGCTACACAGCAAGACGTTGTATCAAAAGTAAAAAAAAAAAGCAGAAATTAAGGTCACAGACATAAACAGTCCTAGTTACCTGTGTTAGCTATCATCTTCATCATTCGTGCAATAGGAACAAAAGTGAAAATAAAGTTATGGAACACTTCACAATTTGCCAACGACAAAAAAAAACAAAAAAACAAAAAAAAAACCCCGAAGCCATGATTAATAAAGACTCAGAGAGAGAAATTGGGGTTCAACCTGAAGGTTAGAAAAGCAAAACAACCAGCCACTGGCTCTTACCTCAACCTCAATCTGAAATGGCGATCCTGCCTCCAGGAATCTCAGAATGAGACTGTGACTGAGAGCTGTCATCTCCCATTTTATAATCCTCTCTAGGGCTGGGATTAAAGGCGTGCATCACTAGGATTAGAGGCATGCAACACCCTGTTTCTATGGCAGCTACTGTGGCTACCGGGATTAAAGGTACATGTAGATACTGGGATTAAAAGTGTGTATTACTATTACCTGGTCTGTAAGGCTCACCAGTGAGGCTGTTTTACCCTCAGATCTTCAAACAAGCTTTATTTATTAGAATACAATTGAAAAGGCACTACAAAAACCCGACAACATTGAGTTTTAAAGAAATGAACATGGACATAAAAAAGTTTACAAATACAGAACATTTAGCCAGTCCTTCATAACACCTCTTGCCTATAAACAGCAAATCAAACTCAAACCTCAACAATTTATCATCTTGTTTAAAAGTGTTCCAGAGAAATGGCTTAGCACTTAAGAGTATTTACTGCTCTTCCAGAGGAGCCGGGTTCCATTCCCAGCATTTATGTTGCACATCTACAAACTACCTATAACTCCAGCTCCAGGGAATTGGACTCTGTCTTCTCAACTCCCCAACCACTTGCGCACACATAGCATACATTCACACAAGCATACAGACATAAAATATAAACATTTTTTTTTTAAAAAAAATCTTTTTTAAAAGTAATGGAAATGGGGGCTGGAGAGACAGCTCAGCCCTTAAGTTCACTTGCTTTTCTTCCAGAGTCCCCGAGTCTGGTTCACAGCACCCACACTGGACAGTTCACTACCACCTGGAACACCAGCTCTGGGGGAATCTGATGCCTTCTTCTGGCCTCTTAGGGTGCTTGCACACAGAGAGCATACAGGCACATACCCATAAATAAATCCTTAAAAGGACTGAAACAAACTGCTGAATTTATTACCCAGAGTTCACTTTGTTTCTGCCCAAAGTAATTTATTTTAATGCACAATTAAATAACATGGCAATGCCTAGGCATATAACTCTGAACTTAACCACTGCTGAGGGAATTCTAAATTCTCTTTCAATAGTTACAAGGCTGAACAGTACCGACTCTACTAAAATCATTAAATGGTCTCCCTGTGATACAGGAGTCACCTTCAAGTACATTTACAGAACTAACATTGAAAACCAGTATCAGTGGAAAATACTAAGCTAAACTCCAGTTTTGTCTAACCCAAAGTTGAGAGGAAACGACGGAAGTCTTCTGGTTTGCATACGGAGTTGGGAAATTCCTCTTGTGAATTCTCCCGGTGGCGAAGCATAAGCAGTGGAGTGCTTCTAAGAATCTCCTCGAGGCCAAACCCCCGTTCTCAGATGCATCACGCCATTCGCAACTCATTTGTGGTACCCACAGTTACTACGCCTTCACTGCATCTCTGCCGGAGGGTCGCACAGACGGTGACGCACCTCCCGGTGGGCGTGACTTGCGCTCTGACGCACAGTGAGCGCGCCGACGCACAGCGCGGTGTGCGCGCGCCGCCCGCGAGAGCTCGCCAGTGGCTGAAGCGGCGGCTGTGGCGCGCAGAGCGGGCAGAGCTGGCGGAGCGGGCGCTAACCGCCCGGGGCTCGGCGGGAGGAGGCGCGGGGCGGCTGGTGGTGTCTCCCGGGCCGCGGTGGTGTCATGATCGACTCGGTGAAGCTGCGGCGCGATAGCGCGGCTGACTTCTTCTCGCACTACGAGTACCTGTGCGCGCTGCAGGACTCGGTGCCGCTGCCCGCCGTGCGCTCCTGCCTGCGGGACGGGGTGCTGGACTTCAATGCCGACCGGCTGCGCGTGGTGGACTGGACGCCGCTGCTCAGCACGCTCAGGGTGAACCGCGACTTGCCGCTGGTGGCCATCAAGAGCTCCTTCCAGCCGTGGCTCGGGGAGACAGGTCTGCAGCCGGGAGATGCGAGGGTCGGAGGGAGTCCGGTGCAACGGAGCCTGCGAAGCCGGCCTCATCCATCCACAAAGGAGTTTTTTGTCGCCGCCTCCTTTTCAGGCAGTTGGCTGGGAGAGTGGCTAAAGAAACAATAATAGGGCTCGAGATTGGCCCTTATCGCAGCGAGGATTACCAACTATGTTCCCCGAGGGGAATATGCAGGATAATTTAATGACTTAACCATTAATGCTTCCCCCCCCCCCACGCCCCCGTCTTCTTTGCTTTAGGGTTTTAAATTTACAATCTCTTCATTGTAAGCCTAATACGGAAAAAGAAGAGAGTTAAAAAATGGAAAGAAAAATATATAACAAAACAAACAAAAAAACCCTTCAGGGATGTGTTTTACTATTTTTAGGAAATTTTGTATGAGTGTGTGCTGCCTTCTTGCATGTATGTGCCTGCGGAGTCCGGAAAAGGCGTTGGAATCCTGGAAGTAGAATTACACTTGATTGTGAGCCTCCATATGGGTGCTTGGAATCGAACTTGTATCCTTTGCAAGAACAGCAGTTAGTCTAAGGCTGAGCCATCTATCCAGCCCAAGGGACTGTTATTTAGTCTTTCTGGTGCTTCTGTGGTCATTCATGAACACTTGCCCAGAAGCCAAAAAGTTTTATCATCCTTTATATATGGGTCTGTACTAATTTTTTTCTTAAAGTATTTGTGGATCTTAGTCTCGCCACATATGCGCACAGAAAAAGCAGAAGAAGTGTTGGGTGTCCTCTGGTCACTTTCCACCCGTTATTTTGAGTGTCTCTCTTGGACTTGGCTTGGCTGGAAACCAGCAAACCCTAACCGTCCACTTTTCTCCACCCCCTGCCAAACTGGAGTTACAAGCCCTGCCCTGAGGCCTAGCTTCCATGGGTACTGGGATCTCAAACTCCAGACCTCCAGATTGTACAGCAAATGCCCTTCACTGTTGGGCCTGCCTCACAGCAGCTTTTCACATACCCTTTTATTTTTAACAGTTTTTCACATACCCTTTTATTTTTAATAGTTTTTCACATACTCTTTTATTTTTAGATTTGCAAATAATTTTGTGTATGTATATGTATGTGGCATGTGTGTGCTTACGTGTGTATGTTTTTGTATCTAGACACATGTTCTCATGTGCATGGAGGCTAGAAATTGACATTGGATATCTTTCTCCATTGCTTTCTAATTTATATACTGAGACAGGGTTGTTTTTGTTTTCTGAACTCAGGGGACTTGCTGCTTCCATTGTCTGGCTAGCTAGTTTGCCCCTGGGATCATCTCTTGTCGCTTCCCAGGGATTACTGGCTTTCCCCTTGCAGGTGGTGCAGATTTGGGTCCTCACACATTTTCCTTGCTTGCGCTTTTATCCATTTGGTCATCTCAGCCCCCATTTTTTTTTTTTTTAAGAATAGTATCATTTAAGGTGTTAGTGGTAACATAGAGTTTGAATTTCATATTTTAAGCTCTTAATACTCATCTGAAAAGCAGTGAAACAAGCCTGTCGAGAATTCTTAGGACTAAAGTGCATTGCGCATGTCAGGTGTCTGCAGGTGACCCACTGAAAGGGGAGGTGTGGAGAAGCCTGGCCCTTTTCCAGGTCTGAGATAACACCATTTGTGATCCTTCTTCAAGGACAGCATTGTACTTCTGAGGAATCCTTTGATTACCATTGTAATAACCCAAATTAAAGGAAAGATGAGTGGTATCGTAGAACTGAGGCAGGCATACCTAATCCTGCCCAGTATTCTATGCTGAATATAAGGAGACTGGACCATTTCTCTTCAAACATCCTTTGCAGCTTTTCCAGTCTTGTGTGCAGCGGGTCTCGGCTGTAGATTTTAACCTCTTCGACGCGACGTGTTTATCTCTCAGTTGTGTTAGTCTGTGCTGTTGAAGAAGCTCCTGATGGCTTTGCTGCTCCTGGACTTGGTTTCCCTCTGTGCAGCCGACCTCACACAGATCCAGTACCTACTGGCTGCAGTGTGTCCTTTACAAGGCACTGGAATATGAGCTGCACTCTAGCCAAAACCTCCTGGAAGGGGTCTTTTTTCTAATCCGTGGGGTTCAGGTGCCTCTCCCTGGTTCCCTTTGTGTAATTGGCCCAACAGTGGGGCATGTTTTTCTAACCATTCTCTAAGCCAGTGGCAGCCTTGGTCCTCACTAGTGTTGTAAAAGCCAACTTGCTTTAGGCTGTAAATTTCCCTGGTTTTTCTATCCTGAAGGGTCTAGCCCTCACACCTGCAGTATTTATACTGTCCAGCAGGTGTCAGGCTTGGGTCCCTTTGCACAGTTCTCCCACTCCCTCTTTATTCTATATAAAAATTGAGGGTTTTTTTGTTTGTTTTTTAAGACATCCCTTAGGTGCAAATTCTTTGCCTCCATGAGAAACCATACCATGCACCGTTTATGTTTCTGTATCTCATGTGGTTTTGAATTTCTTCTTTAAGGGCATGGTTCATTTCTGTACCTTAGCCCTGAAGAGTTTAATACTAAAATTGTGTGGCTGACATCACTGCTCTTACAATGAATTTGTCTTAGGTTCTGATACACACAGAGCTTGCAGAAATCGGGTTCCTGCGATAAGATCCAAGGATGTGAGCTTCCAGTTGTGTAAGGCTCTGAAAGGCTGCTTAAGCACATCCAGTGTGCTCAGAAATCTGGAGCTGAATGGGCTGACTCTGAGAGAGAGAGATCTGGCTAGTCTAACAAAGGTAAGCCTTGTTCATGTGACCTGCAGACATTTGATCGCTGATTTTGGTGGGAAAAATACTCAATTCATATTTTACTTTTTTCCTCTATTAAGGGATTGAGTAAATCGACATCCTTGGTGCACCTGTCTCTTGCCAATTGTCCAATTGGAGATGGAGGTTTAGAAAGTGAGTCATGCCATTTAACTGTAGTTGTCATGTTTGCTGTGTGCTGTGATGATCTCTGTCTACCTTTTGAGCTCCTTCATCCTGAGCTGCCTCCTATGCCTGCTCAGATGCTGATCTGTTCTCACTTCTGCCGGGAAAGCTTATCATGCCTAAGACTGTCTGAACTTTATTTAAGGTTGTGAAATGCCATAAAACAGGCAGTTTTGTCGTCTTTAGTATTCTGTTGTTTGTGTTTGCTTATGGTTTATGATTTTCCTTTAAGAAATATTTGTGGGAGCTGAGCAAGATAGTGCCTACCTTTAATCCTAGCACTTGGGAGGTAGACGTAGGCAAATCTCTGCCAGCCAGGTCTATAGGGCGAGTTCCAGGACAGGCTGGGCTACACAGAGAAACCCTGTCTCAAAAAATCAAAAACTGTTGTGAGGAGGGCAATAGTAGGGTAAAGAGAATTGAAAGTCATAACCATCTCCAAGTAAAACAGCTGTAATGCAATTGTTTTTTGTTTTAGTTTTTTAAGATTTATTTATTTGTTTACAATATTCTGTCTCTATGTGTGCCTACATGCCGTAAGAGGGCACCAGGTCTCAGTTCAGATGGTTGTGAGTCACCATGTGGTTGTTGGGAACTGAACTCAGGAATCCTAGAATAGCCAGTGCTCTTAACCACTGAGCCATCTCTCCAGCCCCAGTTTATTTATTTATTTATTTATTTTTGAGACAAGGTCTCAATACGTAGCTGGCCTGGAACTCACTATATAGACCAGGCTGACCTCAAACTCAGAGAGATCCACCTGCCTCTGCTTTCCAAGTACTGGAATTAAAGGCGTGCACCACTGTGCTCAGCTTTATAATACGATTGTAGTGTTCGTATATCAATAGTCTTCAGTTTTGGCAAGTTAGTAGAATTAAGCCTTTGCTGTAATATAGATCAGTGTTTTTATTGATAAATTGCAGCCAGTCTGTTAGTCTCTGGGAGAGTTGTAAAGTGATTTTAGGAACACGTGTTTAAACTAGCATAGACTGAAGACCGTGAATAAACCAAGATTGACCAAGTTGATAGGATCTTGGTCTTACTTGTGTGTCATTTTTTTTCCTTTAGTTATTTGTCAAGGCATAAAGAATTCTGTCACTCTCAAGACCGTCAACTTCACAGGATGTAATCTGACATGGCAAGGAGCCGATCATATGGCCAAGATCTTAAAGGTGACTGTACATTCAGCCTTGAATGGTTGATGTGATTGAAGCACATTAATACCTTGGTATGGGGTTGCAGTGATTTTTTTTTTTTCCCACACAGAGATTGTAGTTTTAGTTTCATTGCATGATATGTAAGTGTTGTTTAGCTTGCCATTCTGACACTTGAAGATACTCATTTAATCTTAAAAATAAGACTTTAAAGTATAATACTGTGGGATAATGTTCTTATACATGTAAAGATCTGTCACTCATATTGGTTTAATAAAACACTGATTGGCCAGTAGTCAGTCAGGCAGGAAGTTTAGGCAGGACAACCAGACTAGGAGAATTCTGGGAATAGGAAAGGAGAGATGCAATTGTCATTCAGAAGCAGAGGAAGCAAGATGAGAATGCCTTATTGAGAAAAAGTACCAAGCCACATGGCTAAACATAGATGAAAGGTATGGGTTAATCTCAGCTGTAAGATGTTGGCAGAGGCTGCTCGTTTGTTCCCAGCCGCCCAGACCCAAAATAATCACACAGAAACTATTAATTAAAACACTGCTTGGCCTATTATTTTAAGCTTCTTATTAACTAAAATTAATTTTCTTAATCTTAAATTAACCCATTCCTATTATTTTATATTTTACCACAAGGCTCGTGGTTTACCAGTAAGGTTCTGGGGTGTCTGTCTCCTTCGGCAGCTACATGGTGTCTCTCTGACTCTGCCTTCTTTTCTCCTTCATTTCTGCTAGGAATTCCCCCCTTGCCATACTCTACCCTGCCATAGACCCAAAGCAGAGTCTTTATTAACCACTAGTAATAAAACATTCACAACATGCAGAGGGGAATCCCATATTAGTAAGAGATAGTTAGTAATAAGCCTGAGCACTAGGCCAAACAGCTTATAATTAACAAAAGCCTCTGTGTGTTTATTTGGCACTGAATGACTGTGGGACTGGGCAGGACAAAAACTTCCATCTCAAAGGGCACCCAATGTGGGGTGTGTTTTTTTTTTTATTTTAGACAAAAACAAGGGGGGCTATAGATACTATAGGATAAAAGGGTAGATTATTTAATATACTTTAAAAAAGCAACTACTAGTTTTAAATATTTTGCATTAGATTGGACTTTATACATACAAATTTTGTATATTGATACAAATTGAGATTTTTATTAGAACATACTGTACATACATTTCTAATCTTGTTCAAGGTATTGTACCTGTATAGCTCATTTAACAATGTAATGTAAATTTCTAGTCTTTGAAAGTTATTATTACCAACTGTTTAGAATAATATGGAAATGCAGGTTAGTAATTAGTCACCTATTACAATTGAACTTGTAGCTACAGTAGGTATGTTTTCAAGGTCAAGCAGAGATATTTTAGATAGACAGGTCATCTTCAAACACTTCAGAGATCTACAGAATATGGCATTTAAGGTGTTTTAGTTACATAGACTCTTTTTTTTTTTTTTATGACAATGAGACATGCTTGCTCCTGGCAGCATCAGTCTACTTCAGAGAAGATAATTGACATCAAAGAAACTCTACATGGAGTTAGCTTTCTTTGTGGCCAAAGTAAACCACTGGGCCAGAAAACACCCTTGTCTCTATTGCTGACAGTATGCTGTTCTAGTTGGGCAAGCAGAACACAAAAGAAAGTGACTGCCAGACATTGTCAAGACAAGGAAGAATAGACTTTCAGACGATCCTGCTTCACAGAAAAGTCTGATATGCCCCAGTGTTGCAGAGGAACTTTGGGTGACTGTCCAGGCAGCCAGCTTTTTCTGTCATTTCTCACATTTTTTGGAAGTTGCTTGCTCACACTCTCTGCTTACTCAGTTAATATTATTTCCTTCTTGGGTCTCTGAGGGAGATGAAGACTAGTGTTCTTTGTTTACCTTTGCAGAAAGCAAGTTATAATAGAAAGTAAATTAGGTACAAGACTTTGGACTTACCAAGATAGGATAAAATGGAATATTTTTTCTGAATTTATCAAATACAAATGGACTAGACATTGTTGATGTATTTATTGCCTGTATATATTGTGTATAGTTATTGTACTTACTATATATAGTTTTTCTTATATTAGTTATAGACTTTTTTATTTTAAAAATAAAAGGGGAAATATAGTGAGTTTGATTTATATTTTAATAAATAAAGCTTGCCTAAAGATCAGAAGGGCAAAGCTAAGCCACTAAAAGTCAGGCAGTGGTGGCACACACCTTTAATCCCAGGACTCGGGAGACAGAGGCATATGGGTCTCTGTGAGTTCAAGGCTACCCTGGGCTACACAAGATCAATGTAGAAATAAATCCAGGTGGTAACAGCTTACACTTTTAATTCCAGTACTAGGGAGTCATGCCTTTAATTCCAGGACTGGAGGGATTATAAAATGGGAGGAGAGAGAGGCTTAGTCTTCTTAGGCTGCTTAATCTGCTTAGTCTGCTTAGTCTGTGGTCACCCAGCCTTAGCAGAGGTAAGATTTCTCTAGTGGCTTGGCTGCTTTGCTTTTCTGGTTTTCGAGTTGAACCCCAATATCTGTCTCTGCGTTTTTATTGTTTGTGCTGTGGTATAATATTTTATAAATAATACTCCTTTGTTATTTTAGTTGTTGAAGATGTTGTAGCCCCCAAAGAAACTTTATACTATTACAGTTTCCAATCACTGATGGCACTCTAACTACTGTAATTTATAAACTAATAAGAAACAGTACATACATTCTTTGTAGTTCTTATAGCTACTATTAGGACTAAAGTTATTTAACAATTTGATATGAAGCCTTTTTTGTAGGCTTTTTTTGTTGTTGTTTGCTTGCTTGTTTGGGTGTAGTGGGGGTTGAGACAGAATATTGCTATGTGGTCTAGCCAGGTTGGACTTGTGCTGTCCATGCTGGCCTGGAACTTGCTGTAGTCTCCTTCCTTCAGCCTCCTGGGTGCTAGATTAGAGGTGTATGTCACCTTGACTGGCTTGTTTGTGTAGTTTGGTAGCAAGGATAAAGACTAGAACTAAGGACTATGGAATGAATCTAGCCGTCACATAGTTTTTGCAAGTAAGAATGCTAAGGACCACAGCCCTGTCTAGTTGTCTGCATGGTAGTTGGCTACTTCTGTCTTAGATCAGGAGAGTTGAGTAGTTGGTTTGAGACCCACGGAGCTGGGAATGTTTACTTTTAGACCTTTACAAAGTAAATGCTTTGACCCCTGTGATAAATAGTGGTCAAGAGCGTGTATCTGTTTTCTGGTGTGGTGATTGAATTTTGTAAGGTTTTTGTTGTTGTTTTGGTTTTGGGGGAATGCTATTTGTTTTTATGCTGGGCATTGAACTGAGATCTCACACTTCAGGCAAGTGCTCTACCACTGAAGTACATCCCAGCATTTTTTGACTTTATTTTGAGACTGGCTCTCATTAAGTTGCCTAGACTGGCCTTGAACTCACTCTTTAGGCCTCACTGGACCTGTGATGTACCTGCCTCAACCTGCTGAGTAGCTCAGATTTTAGCCCTACCTAACCACTAGCCTCACTGTGTGGAGGCTGAAGCAAGATGGCCTAAAGGAAAGCCCTGACTCATTTAGTATCGTGTGAACATGGATGAGTTGCTTCACCTCTGTAAAGTCACAGTTCACTCTGAGGGTCTCATGTGCTCCGTAGTGTCTGCTGTGGCTCCATGCTTTATGTGGTTATTCTTAATAGGAAAATGACATGAACATGACTCCTTTTAGTGTCATGTCACAGATGCTTTGCTCTTTTGATGTTCAAGCAGGGAGGTGTTTTTCCTTTTAACATCAATGGCCCATATTGGCAAAATTCACCTGGTGAATATAGAGAATTAGCTATAGTCTTAAAGGCTACAACTGGGACTAAAAATCAAACCATTTTTTCCTAATGCCTGTCAGACTCTCCTTGCTTATTCTAGGACTCTAATGATAGTATGTGTGCCCTAAGAAGTACCCAAGAGCCATGGAGTTAAAAGACGATGTTGCAGCCTCCGAATGGATCTTTTTGTCATCGGAACCTTGTACCTGTTGACCTGGCTGTTCAGCAGTAGAGCACTTTGCTGGGCGTGTCGAAGGCTTGAATTTAATCCCCATCACTATACATGTGCACACATAGGTCCTGTTGTTTCTGTGTACATAAAACATATGTAAGATATTTTTATAGTTTTATGTAGCCTCTTAATAACCATGAGACACGTTAAGTGCTTAAATTGTATTGGAAGCCCCAAGAGGACAGAATAGAGTTTAGAAGGATAGCAGTGTTAAACTAGTTCTTTAATGTGGCAGAAAAGGAAAATAAAATTTTTGAGAGTTTAGTAAATTGTCAGGTTACGTAACTGTTGAGTAACAGTCACCCATTGGTTATTCTCACAGCTGGGACTCTGTGCTGGGACCGTCTACGGGCAGACTGCCAGCATATTTGTACTTAGGGGTATGGTGCATGTAATCAGCCGTGGCTAGTTTCCCTTTAGGATTCCTATTTCCTTCCAGCACCTGACTCCCTACTGTTATCTTTGAAGTACCAGACCATGAGAAGGCATGAAGAAACCTGGGCTGAGAGTCTTCGCTACAGGAGACCCGATTTTGATGGCATGGCTGGGCTACGGCGCATCACGCTGAACTGCAACACACTAGTTGGTGACCAGGGTGCAGGTGCTTTTGCAGACTCTCTTAGTGAGGATTTGTGGCTTAGAGGTAAGTTAGATGCGCTTCAGAAATTGAAAATCCTCTAGTAGCTTTTATTGTACTTTTAATCTAAAGCCACATATATTCTCCACAGAAAACAGTGTTTCCCTGTAATCAAAATATCTAGAAGTAACTGCTATTCATTTAGGCATATTTTCAGCCTTTAAAAAAAATAGATGTGTCTGTCCACCTAGAGATTATAGTAATAGTTATAGCAAACTTGCTGTTTTCTAACCCTACTGTCTTTGTTTACAGGTGTGTGTGTGAGTGTGTGTGATCTAGTATATAATAGATGATATGTATCTATGTGGAGTGTTTGTTTTAGACAAAGTCTCACTAGGTAGCCCTGGCTAACTTTGGCTAACTTGGAGCTTGCTGTGTATATCAAACTGCCCTCAAATTCCCAGGTATCTACCTGCCTCTGCCTTCCGAGTGCTGGCTGCTATTTTAAAATAAAAAAAAAAACACAAAAAACCCACACAACTAAAGCAAACCATGTATTATTTACTTAGGATGTGGTTCCAAGTACATGTCAAGCCACAGTGCACATGTGGAGGTCAGAGGACAACTTGCCAAAGTTAGTTCTCTTTTTCCACCATGTGGGTTCCAAGGATGAGACCTGAGGGGTCCACTTGACAGCAGGTGCTTTACTTGCTGGGCCATCCTGGCTGCCCCAGGTTTCATTGCTGTGGTTCATTTGATGTTCCAGTGAAATGTACTGGTTATTAATTGTTTGGTTAGTTGGTTCTATCTTCGGTGTCGAGGGTGTTAGTTTGAGCTATTATGGGGCACTATGAACTGGTGTTTTAAACTGCAGAGTTTATTTCTGCTAGTTCTGGGGCCTGGAAAGTTCTGGGTCAGGCACCAGTAGACCAGTTTTAGAGTCAGCTCTCTTCTGCTTGTGCAAGGCTGCCTTTCTTCCTTTTTCTTAGTTTACTCTGCTTTTTGTTGCTGTGATAAAAGACTCACTATCTTAGTCACTGTTGCCATGGAGAGACACTATGACCAAGGCCACTCTTATAAAAGAAACATTTAGTTGGGGGGTTGCTTATGGGTTCAGAGGCTTAGTGCATTGTCAGTATTGGGAGTGGGGGGAGCATGGCAGATGTGATGCTGAAGAAGCAGTCGAGAGTTCTCCATCCGGATCTGCAGGCAGCAGGGGGAGAGAGAGAGACACTGGGCCTGGCGTGGGCTTTTAAATCCTCACAGTCCACCCCTAGTGACACGCTTCACCCAACAAGGCTACACCTCCTAATTGTTCTGAACAATTCCACTCCCTGATGATTAAGCATTCAGATATATGAGCCTATGGGGGCTATTCTTATTTAAACCACTACACTTACCAAAACAACTTGGGAAGGAAAGGTGTTTTTCCACCTTATAGCTTACCTCCTTTGTAGAGGGAAGTCAAGGCAGGAACTCTTTCTTTTTATTTATTGTATGTGGTGCTTTGTCTGTGTACCACAGCCATGCCTACTGCCCACAGAGGCCAGAAAAGAGCCCTGGATCTCCAGGGGCTGGAGTTGCAGACAGTTGTGAACTGCTTGTGGGTGTTGGCAATGGAACCTTGGTCCTCCGGAAGAGCAGCAATACCCTTTTTTCTTTTTTCTCTTTTTCTTTGTTTTTTGAGACAAGGTTTTTCTGTGTAACAGCCCTAGCTGTCATGGAACTAGCTCTGTATAGCAGGCTGGCCTCAAATGGCCTCAAACTCACAGAGGTCTGTCTGCCTCTGCTGGGATTAAAGGTGTGCCACCACCATCCAGTGAGCAGCAATACTCTTAACCGTCTCTCTAGCCCCTCTCTTTTTAAAAGTGTGGTGTTCTGAGATTCCTTTGGAATTCAGGATGATGAGTCCAGGAATTAAGTGCAGTGTTTACACTGCCACTGCCATCCTTGTTAATGAGATAATTCTCACTGGGTGATGTTTTCTCTCATGTTGTAGGGAGAGGTTTTTTGTTTCGTTTTGTTTTGTTTTTACGTAGGGGTGGGGTAACATCACTGTAGCACATCATAGAAGAGTTTTTTTAATGATATGTTTTCATATGCTTTTCTGATTTTCTTTCTTTTTTTTAATTCCCAAGATTTAGAATCTGCTGTGAGTAGTCTTGTTCAGGGAATGTCCTAAGCATGAATGAAAATTGTGTGTGTGTTAGACTATGTGCAGTCGGCAAGTGACCCGTTGTCTTTCATCCAAAGCTCTTGACCTGCAACAGTGCGGCCTCACCAGTGAAGGAGCCAAGGCTCTGCTGGAAGCCCTAGAAACCAACAGAACCCTGGTCGTTCTGGATATAAGAAAAAACCCACTTATCGGTAGGTCATCTCTTTAAAATTAGCAAATGCCCTAACAAAATGAATTTGCATATTGAAAGTTTTTTAAACTTAACATATTTATTTTCTAGTTTTGTAATTTTGTGCTTTAGATAATGCATTGTTTTAAATGAGTTGTATTTCACAATTGTTTTGGTGGCTACTTATTCTAAGTGAACCTAGATAATAAAACTGATCCTGTCAAGAGCACTCTCCTCACATCCCCTGAATCTCTGAATTCTTGGGAAGAACATTTCATTTGTTTGCTAATTTGTAAAGAAATTTTGATTTTTGTATGTGTCTCAACACTGGTTCAGATACTAAGCATATTACAGTGTACCAGGTAGACAAAGTCTTGCTCTCCATCAGTAAGGGAGTTCAAATGTAAATGTGTAAGTAGATAAGGAATTTTGAATACTAGGAAGTGCAAAGAGTTTAAGAAGACAGATGGGGACCTGATGCTTTGCTAAAGTGGCTGACTGAGTGAGGAGAAGAATCTGATGTGGATGCTCTGAGGGAGGTTTGTTGTAGAACAAGGATTCAGTCAGTGTATAGGTACAAGACGGCGGGATGTGTAGTGATATTTTGTTTGTGTTTTAACAGATAAATAAAGCTGGCCTAAAGATCGGAGTGCAGAGCTAAGCCACTAGTTAGCCATAGAGGCTACGCAGTGGTGACACAAACCTTTAATTCCAGGACTTGGAAGACAGAGGCAGAGGGATCTCTGTTAGTTCAAGGCCACCCTGGGCTACCCAGAAATTGATTCAGTCTAAAAGAGAAACAGAGCTCACACAGAGGTGATCCCAGAACTTGGGATCCCACACCTTTAATCCTAGCACTAGGGAGGTGGAGACAGGAGCGATGTGTCTGGGCAGAGGGAAGAATATAAGGTGGGAGGAGACAGGAGCTCAGTGCAGTCTGAGGCAGCAGTCTGAGCAACAGTCAGTGTTAGGATTCTGCGTGAAAGGTACCTTGGCGGCAGGTGGGGGACAAATACGCTATACAGACAGAACTTAGGTGAGGAGTTTATTGAGAGAAGGGGAAAGGAAGAGACTGGCCGTTGGGGGCAGGCATGGTGAAAGAGAAGAGAGAGAGACGGATGCACAGAGAGAGGGAGAGAGGAGGAAGAGTAAAGTATGAGAAGGTTCTCTGTTTAAAGAGGCAGGGTATTACTGCCCCCCTTTACACAGGCATGCAGGGCATGATGCACTCTATCAGGTCTTCAAGGGGAGAGGCCTTGTTCCTCTAGATGTTAATAGTCATTCTAAGGCTGCAGTCTAAGCAGGCAGTCTGAGGACAGGATGGCCCCTTCTGTCTGAGCATTATTAGTAGAGGTAAGAACTCTGTTACTTCAGATTTTACCCCCTGATAACTGACTCTTAGTTTTTATTATTTTATTTTTAAAGATTTTATTTATTATGTATACAATACAGTGTGCTGCCTCCATGTATGACTGCAGGCCAGAAGAGGGCACCAGATCTCATTGTAGATGGTTGTGAGCCACCATGTGGTTGCTGGGAATTGAACTCAGGACCTCTGGAAGAACAGTCAGCGTCCTTAACCTCTGAGCCATCTCTCCAGCCCTCTGAGTTTTTATTATTAAGAACAATTAGAATTCATGTTACATGGATGGATGGATGATTTGAGGAAAATCGATCTGTAAATTTTTTTATTTTATTTTATGTATTATAAGTATTAGAATAAGCAAGGCCGTGGCTTTAGTAAGAGCACTTACTGAAATTGCCGATGACCAAAGTTTGGTTCCCAGCTCCCATGTCAAGCTGCTCATAACACCTGTAACTCCAGTTCCAAGAGATCCAATGCCTTCTGGCCTCCATGGCCACCTGCATACACAAACAAGCAGACAGACAAACATATGAATAATTAGTAAATGAACCTTTAAGAAAGAAAAAGAAGGAAACCTGAGGGAGAACCTGATGTGTCGTGTGCTCAGATGGCTCAGGGACTTATACTGTAGGCTTCGGTGCGAAGGTAAGGGCATGGCTATTCTAAGTGAGCTGACAGCCCTACGAGGGGTAGAGATGGAAAAGGGCATGCTCTGAGTAGTGTTTCAGTCAGGGGCCTCGGTGTGGAGGAGAGTAGTGGGGCCAGGGAGAAGGAAGCCTAGCAGAGAAATCCAAGACAGGGATTGTGGTTGGCTCATGGTGACAGAAAGTTGAAACAAGGAGCGAGAAGATTTGCAGATAGATTAGGTGTTGGCTATGAAGGAAATAGCTATTTTCAGATGTCCTTGACAGGGTGGTGCCACCTTTTACTGAGAAAGGGAAGCTGGAGAGGAGGTCTTTGAGGACATTTACGACTTCGGTTTGACTGTATTAGTTGTCTTTAGTACAACCCTTGGTTTTCTGTGCAGAGGTTTCCAAAGCCACTTCAGACATAAGTGCTGGTGGGTGTAGGCGAAGTGTTAGAGTGAACTAAGTTAGTGAGGGACAGGAATGCTCAGAAGCAGAGGTGAGTGTGTGCGTTAGATTTATGGGAAAGCAGTGGCTCGTGGGCGTCTTTTCTCATGGGTGCACTCAGTCACTGGAAAACACCTGAACCGTCTCCTTTTCTTTTACTTTAGATCACTCTGTGATGAAAGCGGTGATCAGAAAGGTCCTCCAGAACGGAAGGAGTGCCAAGTCAGAGGTATAACTCGTTTCAGTCCTTTGAAAAGAATTTCTCTGTAATTCTAAGTTTCTTCTGTTTCTAGTAAAGTGTCACGGTCCTTTTCTGCTATCTGAAGTAAAATCAAGTGGCTTTGGAACATTGGTGGCATAGTGGTGAGCACAGCTGCCTCCAGATCAGGTGGCTTTTCTGTTTTGTTAAATATTGTATCATTAATTAATTTGGAATCTGAGAACTGAAAATTACAAAACTTTATTAGTGTAGAATATCTTCCTCATGTCCAGTTAAAGTGGAGTCCTCTTGTGACCTGTGGCTGATGTCTCCTGGCTCTCTCTTCCAGTACCAGTGGATAACGTCCCCCTCAGTGAAGGAGCCGCCCAAAACTACTAAGCAGAAAAGGAGAACGATCGTCCTAGGAAGCAGTCGGAAAGGAAAAGCTACCATTAGAATTGGTATGTGTTTGTCCTGGCTTTTTAGCATCATGAAAACTTAGACTTAGCGTGTGGTTAGGGCACTAATGTTAAAGTCTCATCTCTTGTGTAGTAACCAGTATTGACTGCAGCATATTCTGAGGGGATTACAGGTAAACATCACCATCCCAGCTAGGAAAACATTTTTGTCTTAGGGTTTCTATTGTGTGACAAGACACCATGACCAATAGCAGCTTAGGCAGGAAAGGGTTTATTTTAGTTCATACTACAACATCATAGTCCATCATCCAGGGAAGTCAGGACAGCAACTCAAGACAGGAACTTGGAGGCAGGAGCTGGTGGCACAGGCCGTGGAGGAATGCTGCTTACTGGCTTGCTCCTCATGGCTTGCTCAGCCTGCTTTCTTAGATGCTCTAGGACCACCTGCTCAGGGGTGACACCACCCACAATGAGGATAACTCTGCCCCATCAATCAATAATTGATGAGTTGATGTTTCTTCTTCCCAAATGACTCTGGCTTGTGTTGAATTGACATAGAACTAGCCAGCACCATTCTCTAGTATATAAATATGCTATATTTATATATAACATATGTAGTATAAAAAATATATATGTATATATATATGTTATAGTATATACATAAACTTCTAAGTATTAGTTAATCTAAAATTCAAACTATTAGTTTTGTAATTGAGTACAAACTGAAAAGTTCTTATTATAAAGGTAACATTCAGGGACTAGCATGTAGATAAAGGCACTGCCATTAGGCAGGATAACCTATGTTCACCCTTAGAACCCACAAGGTAGGAGAGAACTAGCTCCTACAAATTGTTCTGGACCTGAAAGTCCTTTACTTGTTTTGAGATAGGCTATTTCTCCGGCTGGCTTTGAATTTGCAGTGACTTTCCCATCCCTACCTCCTAAATGCTGGGGTTACAGGCATAAATGTGGCAATAATTTATATTCTAGAGCACTTGCCTTGTCTTGGCCCACGATAGTTTGGAATTCTCTGTGTAGCCACGGTGGCCTGAGTGCTGGCCTTGCAGACAGGCACACGATGCCAAGTCCTCCGTGGTGATGAGTGAGGATGCACCTTAGAGCCTCATACATGCTGGGTAGCAGTGCAGCAGCTGAGCTACACTCCAGCTGGAACACGTTACCTGTAGCACACCTAACACTTTTGTGGTCAGAATCCAGGTCTATAAGAAGGGCTTTTTATATGTGTTCTCTAGAATCTTCAGAGGAGAACCATAAAGTCTACAATAGCAGCAACAAGTAAGTTTTATGTTTCCTGTTGTTCACTTCCAAAATGATGTTTGTGGTGACTTTCTATGCCACATATATCAAGATAACTGGACAATAATAACAAATAATGTTTTATTTATTCCTTTTACCTGAAATCTAAAAATGGATGCTTGACATAGTAGCATCGCACTTGTATATGGGTTGCTAATGAAGCTAGGTGGTGGTGGCCCACGTCTTTAATCCTAGTTAGAATAGGATATTTGTACTTATTGTATATAATTTCATAGTAGGTTTAGAACTCTCTTACTTAAACAAAAGAGTGAGATGTTGCAGGAGCTCCTTCCACTCCTTCAGCCAATAGCCGCTGAGATACCAGCCCACTGGGGCGTGGTCTCTCGCCCTTTAAAAAAGCAGCCACTTCCCTCTGCCCTCCCTCTGGCTTCTGGCTCTGCTTCTGGCAAGTAGGCTCCATTCCTGATTGCACAGAGGGCTGTTGTATGGGACGGTGATCTGTAAGTTTTTCCCCCTTAAAATAAATAACCTTTCTAATAATCTAATTCCAAACTGGTGTGGGATTGTTTGTGACTTACGCCTACAGAATGGCGCCCAGACGTGGATAACTTAGTCCACAGAAAGCCTGAGAAAGCTTGGGAAAGAATAGAGTAAAGCATGTTTTCTTGGTAGCAGCAATTTCTTGGGTCTGCTCTGCTTGCCAGAGGCAAGCAAGCGCTCTCATCTAAGAGAGGCTTCCTGACTCTACTTTAGCTGCAAAATCCTGCAGTTCTTTTAAGAGGTCCTGCCACGAAACACTTAAACGGTGTTGATGAAAAGCTGAACGCATGCTTTTCGGTTTTCAGCCGTAGCAGGAAAAAAGCTGCGCTGGAGAGAGGGAGCTGTGGCTGCAGTTTATAGGCCACTGAATAAGAGGGATTATATTTCTTGGCTTTTTTGCTATTTACCTTAGTTACTTGAAGACATGGATGTGAGCTGCCCAGTGTCTGACTGTGTAGGGTTTGGTGAGGACAGAGCTTGTATGTTAATTGTATCATAGTTACGTTGGGAGTGTATGTTCAAGGAATCGGTTAGAACTTTTACTATAGTGTTTTTCAGGTAACAGGATACTTATGGATTTTTTTTTTAGTTTTAATTAAAATGTGGTAACATTTTTCTGAAAATCAAAGAAATACTATCAGTGTACTGCTATAGACCGGAGTGTTTGTTCTTTAAAGGTAATTAACTTAACGACAATAATGGAAGCACTTGGGGGTAGAGGCAGGAGAATCAGAAGAGCAAGGGGATCTTCAGCTACATAGCAAGTTTGAGGTTAGCCTGGGCTACATGAGACTCTGCCTTATAAAATAATAGTAATAAAATGAGCAATAGCACAGGATGAACAGAGTTCCTGTAATTTAACAGTTACATTAATGCATGCAGAAAGTGGCACAAGACTGTGTGGTGATTGTCAGTGAGTTACATGTATGACATATCTGTCTTAGGCACTGAGAGGGTGCGAGTGAAGGCAGTCGCCTGCCAGCCTCATGACCTGGGCTCCATTCTCAGGACTTGCACGGTGGAAGGAGATTACTATTACAAGTTGTCTTCTGATCACCACCTAACTTTAAAAAAATAAAATATATGCCCTGTATAACGGTATATGCTTCCTTTAGGTGACATCCCAGTACTGCTGAAGGAGTTCTTAGATAATATAACAGGTCAGAGGGATAAGCACCATCGTTGTTTTATTTTACTTTTATTATTTTTTATTCTTTTAGAAACAGGATCATACTAAGACTGGTCTAGAACTCTTGTTCTCCAGGGATAAGATTAAATACAACTGTTTTAGTTAAACCTTTGCTATTTGTTTTCAGTGATATCAGAGACAAAAACTTAAATGTGAACTTTAGTATATGATTTGTTCTAATAATGTGTGAATATATGGGTTTTAGCTGCTGCAAGTATTTCATGTTTAACTCTTAGCGTTAACTTTAAGGTAAGCCCCTCATTTCATCCTTCTATCTGATTGTGTGTGTGTTCTCTAAACTCATGTGTGTCATGAGTTCTAATAGGCCTTAATAATAAAAGCCCAGAGTCATATATTGGGGAAAATGCTGAGAGATCAGAGACAAAGGAGGAAAACCACAGCCACCTTACCTACTTAATTTCCCAGTGGAAGAGACTGGGAGACTGAGTTCCTGTCTCCTGCCTTATCAGTTACTCTCTCCACCCAGCCATATCACTTCCTATCTATCTATACAGACCTCCAGACCTCTGTGGTTAGCTAGTAGCTAGCTCTGCCCTCTGATCTTCAGGCAAGCTTTATATGTACAAATAAGATTTCCCCTTTTTATCTAAAAATTAAAAAAAGAATGTAATAACTAATATAAGAAACTGTATACAGTAAGTACAATAATTATATATATTATATATAGACAATAAATACATTAACAATGTCTAGTTCATTAACACTTGACAAATTCAGAGAAAATACTCCATATCTACTGTCTCATCACTTCCTCTCTCTACCCAGCCATATCACTTCCTGTCTATCTGTACAGACCTCCAGACCTCTATGGTTAGCTAGTGGCTAGCTCCACCTTCTGATCTTCAGTCAAGCTTTATTTATACAAACACAGTATCACCACACTGGGTACTATGAGGGCTAGTCCTCAGGGAGGAGGCTTCCAGTCCAGTGGTCACTTGATTCTTCCACGTCCCGTGTCTGAGTTACATGATGTCTTTGGAGGCAACCAAAGGCAATGGCAGCAGCCTTTTGAGAGTTTGCTGGACTACCCTGACCAACAACTCACAGTGAAGTTTCTCATGCTTGGTACTGGGGTGTTCATCATAAAATATTATGTATGTATTTTGAAGTAGAAAGAAAAGGTATCACCACCACTTGTGAGGCCTGAAGGTCATCAAAATGAGACAACATCCACTCGGTTGACTCAGCTCTTCTAGGCAGGGATCCCTGCAATGCACACACTTTTAAGGCACAGGCAGGGTCATGACTTGGAAGTGTAGCCTGAACTACACAGGCAAACAAAGTCACTCCCAGTGTAATAGCCTGGGCCTCGTAGTCGGTCGTTCATCTGTGTTCCCTTTGGAGTATGTGAGTGGCAAGCTGTAGACTCCAGTGCATCCTGATTTTCTCTTATCGCTTCCTTGGACATAGGGTTGGCTACGAAGAAACCTGTGAGTAATGGGAGAAAGCATGGGCTCAGTAAAGACAGCTATGCTCCGGATCCTCTGCCGCCGGGCGTGTCTGGTTTCCTGCCGTGGCGCACTGCAGAACGTGCAAAAAGAAACAGGTAAGGTGTTCTATCCTTGCCTTAGCTCTGACAGCTGTCACGTGGGAGCTTCTCCTGCTGATTTCGTGAGTGGAAAGGATGACTCACACATAGCCTCTGCCAAGGAGTGGCCTAAGGAAAGACCGCAAAGCAGACTGTATCCGCCATTCCCTGGGAACCAACATGTCTAAGTAACTTGTCACTGAGGCATGCTGCTCAGTCTGCTCAGGTTTTTTCCATAGGTTATTTTGAGGTATTTAGTACTCTGGTTCTATATGGCTAGTGCACATAATACAAATAAGTGTAATCATGTAGTGTGTATACATCAAAATATAACTTAACTTGTTGGTATCCTTTTAGGGGTTTTCCGTTAATCAAAACTCGCGATCTGTCTAATCATCTGAAGGTATGTATTTGTCATGTTTCTAACGATAGGGGATTAGAGTAGGAGACGTGCGGGGTCAAGTGAATAGAGCATTGTAAAATGGTTTTCCTCCCTGAAAGAAGTGTATTCCTGTCCCAGTGCCGCATACTGGGAGGCCTTCTCTGTAGATACTATTTCTCCAGGCACCAAATGAGCTGGTGCTCACAATAGGTTTGGATACTGTTTCTTACTGTCATGGGATGGCCACTCAAAAATGTTCCAGTTTTCAAGAAATGTTGCTTTGGGGTGTGTGCATGCATTTTACACACACACACACACACACACACACACACACACACACACACCACATGTTAATGTTAGGTCACAAACATTTCCTGTCCCGTTGGCTCAGTTCTGGATCAGGCTAATTCTGTCATAGTGATGTGTCCTCCTGCAGTCGCTCATGGAGGTCACAGATTCTCAAAAAGGGAGAGGGGGGACATCAAATGTACCACCCTGTGTGTCAGCTCTACCCTGTACACACTGACATGTTAAAATGTCATCTCATTCTGTCACCGAAGGTTTGTCCCAGCCCTGTCAGTCTGTACACTTTCAGTAGGTTGTTAGCTAGAGGGAAACTCACTGAAGCTCGACAGGAGAGTCATACTGTTACTACACTAGTTTGGGGTGCGGAGAAGTGCAGATGAGGTTTTCTGGTGGTTGTAGATATGTATGTGATTTAATTTTTAAAACCATTCTAGTATTACCAATTACAGGTAAGTTCATTGCCTTTATATTTTGTTCATTCTCTTCCTCCTAAAATTATACTTCCATACTCTTCATGTCTCACATCAGAGAGTAAATTTGTCGTCCACAGTGCAAGAATTGACCTGAAAAGAAGTGTTTATCCTGGCTCTTCATTTTTTTAGGAGGAAGTTAGCAAAGTAATATGGGCAATGCCAAACAGTAATCAGCCATATGTGATACAGGATTCTGTAGTAACAGCAAGAATAAGTTAGTGGTCGGGAGGTGGTGGCCCACACCTTTAATCCCAGCACTTGGAAAGCAGAGACAAAGTCAGGTAGATTCCTGAGTTCAAGGCCAGCTTGGTCTGCAGAGCAAGTTCCAGGACAGCCAGAGCTACATAAAGAAACGCGTCCTGAAAAACCAAAAAGAAAAAAAAAAATTAGTGGCAGTTTTCTGTTGTTATTGTGTTAGGTTAAGGAGCAGTGAGATCCATTTATAGGTAATAGCTTGATATTTCAGACAGGTCGATGTAATGAGGTGGCCTCTGGTGTTTGGTATTCAGCTAACGGCATTAATAAGACATGTCCTCTTTATTTAAGCAATCAGATTTCCCTGTGACTGTGACAGTAGAGAGTCCTTCCTCCTCTGAAACTGACGAGGCTGAGGAATCTTCAGACAGTGTCCATGAAACATCTCAGAAAGCCAGCACAAGACAAGAAACGTTACAGGTATGCAGCTCTTCCATTCAAGGTACAGAGACCATTGCAAAGTAATGATTGTCAAACAGGTCCAGGCAGCTCGTTGGACTCTAGTGTACTCAGTGGTGAAGAGGAATAAGAGAAGATGACAGTGCGTGTACTCCAAAAAAATAAAAATAGAAACATGGCACCAATTTTTCCTCTTCTTAGAATCAAAATGTTAGCTGCAAGGAGAACTGTAATGATCAAAAGATAATCGTAAGGAAATTGAGTACTGACATCTAGTCAGCCGATTCAGTGCTATGTGTGTGTAAAAAGATGTGCACACATGCATACATAGGCACATGCATCCGTACGTGCATGCATGCATGTGGAGGAGAGCATGCACAGCCTTAGCGTCACTCCTCACTTGGTGTCCACATTGGGTGGTTTGGTTTTGAGACTAAATCTTTCACTGGCCCGGAATTTGCCAGTTAGGCTTGACTGCCTGGTCATGAGCCCCAGAGGTCGCCCGCTCGCCTCCTGGGTGCTGGGTTTTAGTGTGCACCACCACACCCCGCCCTTTTTTCTGTTCTGAGGTCCACATTTAGGTCCTTATGTGTGTGGGGCCTGACTTGGACAGGGCTGGCTCCTTAGCTTGGCACTGAGAAAGTTGATAGTGCCAGCTGAGCTTGCTTATCATGTGGGAAATATGACTTTGTTTTTAGTAGAAGTGAAATTAAAAAGGGGTTCTTTTGTTTTGAGATAGAGTCTTACGTAGCTTAGCTGTCCTTGAAGTCACTGTACCTCAAGCTGGCCTTGGATCCCTGGTCTTCTGTTAGCCTCCCTTGTAAGCAGTCCCTGGCTTTGAAAAAAATTTTTGCTACTGATGCTGATATTCCCCTTTCACAGTAGAAACTATGTGGGTTTTTTGTTTGTTTGTTTGTTTGTTTTCCGAGACAGGGTTTCTCTGTGTAATAGTCCTAGCTGTCTTGGAACTTGCTTTGTAGACCAGGCTGGCTTCAAACTCACTAAGCTCTGTCTACCTCCCAAGGATTGGGATTAAAGGCATGCACCACCTCCATCCAGCTAAAACTCGGCTTCTAATGTCATTCCATTTTTCTGTTTGGGTAGGCCATAGGTAAGTTAACTTACATAGCAAATTTTTGCACTTACGCACACTGTTTATATGCTGATTTGTACTTAGTTGTGGGAGACCTTGTCTTTAGGAAGGGCTTGGCTTTTCCTGTATGTTATGTGATTCATGTGTAATTAGGGGAGGTTTGAATTCAGAGCCTCATGCTGTTCAGCTTACGTACTACCACTGAGCCATGCCCCCAGCCCAACAGTGACTGCGTAAAACTAGTCCTGTCTTAGTAGAGAACTTCAAAACCTAGACATGGCTCTCCATCTGTTACTTACTTATTCATTGACTTAAAACAGCAGAGGTTGAGTTTCACTTTTCTGAGAGCCCAGACATCCAAATCAAGGTCCAGCATGTATGTTGTGGTAAGGGCCCAGATTTCTAGTTCATGAATGGTACCCTCTCAAAATGTCATTACATGATTGAATGGCACTTACCTAATTTTTTTTAATATGGTTGCGGCAATCAGTATTTGATTTAGAGACATGAAAGCCAGCTAAGGGATACAGCTGAATCATAAGCCCCTTCCCTGGCGAGCACATAATGCCCTAGGTTCAGTCCAAAGCGTTCCCCACCCCAGTGATGAATGCCACAACTTCAAATTTACTTATATAGGGAATTCTTAAAGTAATCTCTTAGAAAATTATAGATCGTGTGGACCATTCGGGAGCACATTTCATCTTGTGAGTTCAGCACGTACAGTTTGTGCCTGAGTGGTTTATTGCTAAGATGCACAGAGAAGGAAAAGTTCTCGAGCATTGAGCCCTCCCCATTGTTCCATGTGTTGTGCTGGTTTCCTTCACCAGGGCTCTAAGAGAGAGGGCGATTTGTTCTGTGGGGTTGTTCTGTATTGCTTTCCTCTGTTTATCTGAAATGCTACAGATCACACTTATGCATGCTCTAGGCAAGCTTTCTACTGCTGTGGCCCAACCCAGGGCATGATGTGGTAAAGTGTCTCTAGTCAGTGAGGACAACAAAGGTTAGGAACTGCAACTACACAGCTTCTTACTCAAGGTGTATTGAGGACTCTCGGCATTTCTTCATTTTGAGAATACGTACGCCCACAATAAAGACAATAGAAGAGGGGCTGGAGAGATGGCTCAGAGGTTAAGAGCACTGACTGCTCTTCCAGAGGTCCTGAGTTCAATTCCCAGCAACCACATGATGGCTCACAACCATCTGTAATGAGATCTGGCGCCCTCTTCTGGTGTGTGGGAAGCAGAATGTTGTACACATAATAAATAAATAAAATTTAAAAAAAAAAGACAATAGAAGAGATTCTCATTTAACTAAAAGGAGACAGTGGGTAGAAAGAAATGTAACTGAGCCTGTACACATGGAAAGCTATCTCTTGGAATAAATGCCGGGGCAGCCTGCAGCCCGGAGGGAGCCTAACTCCACTCTGCAATTAGAAATACGACAAAGTAGGATTTGCTCCCTGTACTGGGCAGTGATGGTCTGAGGTGGTACTGGGCAGTGTGGTCTGAGGTGGTACTGGGCAGTGATGGTCTAAGGGTAGAACTGGGCAGTGGTGGTTTTAGGTGGTCGTCGTGGGAGTATTATCTCATGATCTTGTTCTGTGCACATTTTGATATATCAGTATTTTGTGGCTAAAAGCCCGCCTTAGGTGTGGCTGCCCTGGAGTTCCAAATGGGTGAGTGGCAGCAGACTATCTGATTATGAGCTGTCTATCTTAATTAAATTCACATGTTCATTCATTTTGCATTGATCAACTATATATTCCAAGCACTCTTCTGAGTTTGTGTCTGGGTTAATTCACTTAACCATCCTGTATTTATCTCTAATCTATATATGAAGAAATCAGGACCCAGAGTTATAGAATTTTCCAGCTAATGGACTAGGACTTTGCACCAGAGTCTTCAGTTTTTAGGAAAAAATAATGAAAAACCAAGCCTTAACTACTATCTAGTAGTAAGGAAATGGAGATTGAAGAAGAGAGCATGCTGCCACCTGTTTATTTGAAGAAAATCTACGATCTAAACACATCTTATGTGGCCAGGGTGTCTTTGTTCTTTATTTATTGCCTGCTTGCTTTGTTCTAGGCACATGAGGCAATAGGATAAAAGTTTAATAAAATAGTTTCTCTCCTTCACACATCTTGCAGCTCACAGGGGAACGTGAGCCAGTAGTCACAGTAGACGTGCCCTATCATAGTGATAGGCCCTGTTGCTGGTTGCTGTGCCAAATCCTAGGACAGTATCAGAAAGCTTTGGGATACAGGTATTTCAGGGCCTTAGAAAATGTCTGTGATGCGCACCTCTAAATCTCAGGAGGCTGAGGCAGCAGGGTGGGGAGTCTAAGGCCAGACATAGCTACATAATGAGCCGCTATCTCAAGAAGAGTGCGGAGAGAAGGAGCACTTCATCCAAATGTGACATTGAGTCTGATTTGCCCACTAGGGGGAGAAGCTGTTTCATGTCATTGCACTTGGCTGTGCTGTGGAGAGCTGGTCAGAAATGGAGATGTGGAGACTGTTGTCCGTGATTGGGTGGGACTTTGGGGTGCTGCCACTATTATGTAGTCACCCATGTCCCTTTAACCCCTTGTTTGTGTCTTGTAAGCGAGCCTGGTGAAAGCATTGGCTTGCAGATCAAAGGCAAAGTGCAGTTTCCTTTCTTTAGCTGCAGTGTGTTAAAGCCGTTTTGTGAATCCTAAATTAAATACAGGAGTTTACAATGTCTTTTCCCCTTTACCATAAGAGCTAGGTTAGATTAACATGAAGGAGTGGGATTGTGCTAGTTGAATGGCTCGGAAGGTGAAGGTGCCTACTGCTAGGCCTCATGGCCTGGGTTCAGTGCTCAGGAGCCCCACGGTGAAGGAGAAGTGGTTTCTGACCTCCATGTATGCACTGTGTGTCACACGCACACACACACACACACACACACACACACACGCACACACACACACAGCATGCCATAAAATGTACAGAACATTTTACTTTTAGAAAATGTTAATCTTGTCTTTGGAAAGCGGGCTGAGACGTTAAGAGCCTGTATTGCTCTTACAGAGGGCTGAGTTCAGTTTCTATCACCGTTGTCCCTGGTTCCTAGTCCCCTGAACTCCAGTGCCAGGCGATCCAGTGTGCTCTTCTGCCTCCACAGTCACTGTGCACACATGCAGGAATCCACCCCTGCACACATACAGAGTAAACGTTTTTTAAAGATGAGTCTTTAAGGAGATAAATAGTTGGACATTATTATTGAGGGGCTATTTTAAAACAATCTGTTGAGAGGAAAACAACTGTGTGCACACACTTTTGCATATTTTATATCTCTTTTTAAAACTATAACATTACTTTTTAAAAGATTTTTTATTTTATGTATATGAATGCTTTACATTCATGTATATATGTGTACCACATGTGTGTCTAGTGCCCAGCAAGACCAGAAAAGGGCATCAGCCCCCTGGAACTGGAGTTACAGTCATGAGCTGCCTTGTTGTGCTACTGAGCCATCTCAACGGCCCCAAACTAAACTTTTAAATTAAAATTCCGTGATTAAGTAAATGTTTAGAAGCCTCTAAAATGTAAACCCGGGGTCTGGAGAGAGACTTGGCGGTTAAAGCCCTTGCCATGAAAGCTGAAAGACTGGAGTTTGGATCCCAGAAAGAGCATAAATGTCAGGTGTGTGTGATGGCCCACCTGTGACTCCAGCCTCAGCTGTGGAGAGGGACTCCTCAGAGCAAGCTGATGAGCAAAACTACCTATGTTCGTGAGCTCTACGCTTGATGAAGAAACCTTGTGGGACAGGGACTGCTTCCTGCTCATGAATTCAAAGCCAGCCGCACAACTGACAGAGGCTGTGTTGCTCTGTCTTCTCTGCCGTAGCCAATACTCCTACTTTTCCTGTCGGATGTTGATGGTTAAGTTAGGGAGTGCTAGAAAACTGAGAATAATGCTTGGCCTTCAATAAAGTGCTTTAAAAGTGTTTGCACTTTTTTTTGGGGGGGGGGGTTTCGAGACAGGGTTTCTCTGTAGCTTTGGTGCCTGTCCTGGAACTAGCTCTCGTAGACCAGGCTGGCCTCGAACTCACAGAGATCCGCCTGCCTCTGCCTCCCGAGTGCTAGGATTAAAGGCGTGTGCCACCACCGCCCGGCAAGTGTTTGTACTTTTTTTTTTTTTTTTGTGGGGGTTGTATGAGCCGAGCTCTGGGTGTACTTCCTACAGCTCAGGGAAGCCACCGAACACGGACCAGCTCCGTTACTGTGCTTGCAGCACTGTCCGGGAAGTGTTTGCACTTTTAAGGATTTTTTTTTTTGTTGCACTTACAAGATTCAGGTATGTTAAGAGTGTTATAGAAGCCAGGCGATGGTGGTTCACATCTTTAATCCCAGCACTTGGGAAGCAGAAGCAGGCCAACCTGGTCTACAAGAGGTAGTTCCAGGACAGGCTCCAAAGCTACACAGAAACCCTGTTTAAAAAAAAAAAAAAAAAACGTTATAGAGCCAGTTGGTGTTAGCACATGCATTTAACCCTAGCACTTGGGGAGGCAGAGGCAGGTGGATCTCTGTGAATTCGAGACTAGCCTGGTCTACATAGCAAGTTCCAGGACAACTAAAGCTATACAGAGAAACCCTATCTTGAGAAACAAAAAAACAAAACAAAAGAGGATGTTACAGAGTTTTCCATTATTCTGAGGAACCCAAAAACCCATAAGTAAGAAAATTTCCTCCCATGGCTTTAATTAAATATTGGGGATTGGCTAACTCTTTTATGTATATGCTTTTTATGGTAAAAGCTGCAGCTCAAGTTAGAGTAGGACTTAAGTGAGTCTGCAATGTGCTGATTTGATCCATTCTAGTTATTAACTGCCCTGGCTGGTATGTCGTCCTACTGTCTGAGGTTACTTCTGCCTCTGCCACCAAGTCGTTTGTGGGCTGTGTGTTATGATTCCAGCAACACAGCGTGCCTGGCACTTCCAGGTTCAAGGGCCATGCATGTGCGCATAAGCGCTCAGGCAAAATACTTAGCCGCCCCAGGAGCCTTTAAAGGCCCTGCATGACTTACATGTGGCATGGTCACATCACCTACGTATGATGCAGCTGCATAAGTCCTTGTGCGCATGCGTGAGCTCCATCATCTGCGTATGATGTAGCTCCTCAACCCTCTGTGCGCATGCGGTAGGCAGCCTTTAAAAGCTGGATGCACCATCTTCAGCCCTCTCTTTCTGCACACCGACTTCCCAGTCCTGTTCACTGTTGTGTGTTGCGTGCTTTATGGTAGGTTCTCACTCGTGCCAGGTAATTTCACTGTGTAGCTGGGGTTGTTGAGGACTCAGAGGACCTTACTTACCGTGTTTACTCCGTCTCTGCGTGCTAGGAGAAACTGGAGGAATGCCTAAAGCAGCTGAAGGAGGAGAGAGTCATCCGGCTTAAGGCTGACAAGCGAGTCAGTGAGGTACGTCTTTTTCTCATATTTTGAGAGTTATTTGCTGGTTTTGTTTTTAAGTTCTAAGCTTCATATGGAAAAAAAAAAAAACAAAAACCCAAGATAGCTAAAACAGCCCAGTACAATAAAGGAACTTCTGGAGGTATCACCATCCCTCACTTCAAGCTGTTCTATAGAGCTATAGTAATAAAAAAACAGTTCAGTATTGGCATAAAAACAGTCAAGTGGATCAATGGAATTGAATCAAAGACCCTGACATAAACCCGCACACCTATGAACACCTGATTTTTGCCAAAAGCATCTTCAACAGATGGTGCTGGCATAACTGGACGTGACAGGTAGAAGAATGCACCAGATCCATATCTATTGCCCTGCACAGAACTCAACGTCCAAGTAGGTTAAATCCTCACCATAAATCCAGTTACACTGAACCTGATAGAAAAGAAAGCGGGAAGTAGCCTAGAACACATTGCAGCAGGAGACAGCCTTCTTAATACAACACCAGTAGCACAGACATTGAGATCGACATTAAATGGGACCTCCTGAAACAGAAAAGCTTCTGTAAAGTAAAAGACACGTCAGTAGATAAAATGGCAGCCTACAGAATGGGAAAAGATTTTCACCAACCAGAGGACTGATATCTATAATATAAAAAGAACTCAAGAATGTAGACTTCAAAATACCAAATAATCCCCTTAAAAAATGGGGTGAAGACTTAAAACAGAGAATTCTCAACAGAAGAATCTTGGATGGCCGAGAAGTGTTCAACATCCTTAGCTATCAGGGAAAGGCAAATCAAAATGACTCTGAGATACCATACACTTGTCAAAATGGCCAAGATAAAAACATGCTAATCATAACCTATGTTGAAGAGGATGTGGAGTAAGGTAAACACTCCTCCGCTGCTAATGGAAGTGCAAACTTGTACAGCCATTTTGAAAATCAGTATGGCGGTTTCTCCAAAAATTGGGACTCAATCTACCTCAAGACCCAACTGTTGTAGAATATTGTTTTAAGGCATGTTACTATTTTATGCTCTGAAACATTTTTTTGATGATGCAAAGATATGTTTGATTATATAAAATTCACCTGCAGTCTAGAGACTGAGTCGCCAACTAGCTGACAGGAAATTGTAGGTGGGAGTCATGTGGAGAAGGGTTTATAAGGAGGGCGAGAAAAAGCACAAGGACTTCTCGGGAGTAGTAGCTGGGTGAGCTACTACTTGGTTATTCAGCCTCTCTGGGATGCAGGATTCTACCTCAACCCTTGACTCTTGAGTTCTTTAGCAGTACAGAGATTTAGATACTTTTTCTTAGTAGCTTTGAAAGAGTTGGTGCCTGGAGGGAACAGAATTTCCTCAGGCTGCGGCTCATGCAGCCTAGATGCTGCTTGTAGTTACAGAGTTGCAGTTGCTCACTAGGATATCCATAGAGTAAAAGGCAGCAACCATTAAAAAAGAGGACAACACCCAGCGACACCACTTTTGGGCATATACCTGAAGAATGTTCAACCATGCCACAAGGACACTTGCTCAACTGTGTTCATAGCAACATTATTTGTCATAGCCAGAACCTGGAAACAGCCTAGATAGATGCCCCTCAATCGAAGAATGGATAAAGAAAATGTGGTATAGCTACACAAAGGAGTATTATAAGCAGAAAAAAAAATGTTATTATGAAATTTGCAGGGAAATGGATAGAACTAGAAAAAATTAGTGAGAAACCCAGACCCAAAAAGACAAACACAGTATATACTCACTCATATGTGGATATTAGATGTAAAACCAAGATAACCAGCCTACAATCTTCAGCCCCAGAGAAGCTCGGTAGCAAGGAGGACCCTAAGAGGTTCTCATGGATCACCCTGGGAAGGGAAATATGGGTAAACTGGGGTCTGGGAGAGTTGATTGGCAGGGATGGGAACATGAGGATGGGAAGAAGAGTGAGAGTAATAAAAGAGATACTTTGATAGAGGGGGCCATTGTGGGGTTAGGGAGAAACCTGGCTCCAGGGAAACTCCTTGGAATCCATAAGGATGGCCCCAGCTAAGACTCCTAGCATTAGCGGAGAGGGTGCCTGAACTGGCCTTCCCTGTAATCAGACTGGTAATTACCCTAATTGTCATCATGGAGCCTTCATCCAGTTCCTGGGCCGAGCTCTATGTGAAGAGAAGATGGAGGGATTGATTATGTGAGCAAGGCGGGGTCGGGGATAGGGGTCAAGATCATGACTGGGAAACCCACAGAGACAACTGAGCTGAGTTTGTAGGAGCTCATGGACTCTGAATGGACAGCTAGGGAGCTGGCATGGGACCCACCTAGACCCTCTGCATCTGGGTGACAGATGTGTAGCTTGGTCTTTCGTTGGACCCCTGGCAGTGGGACCAGGACCTGTCCCTGATGCATGAGCTGACTCTTTGGAACCTGTTCCCTATGGTAGGATGCCTTGTTCAGCCTTGACGCAGCGGGGAGGAACTTGGTCCTGCTTCAGCTTGATATGCCATGCTTTGTTGATTCCCATGGGAGGCCTGACCCCATCTGAAAGGAGATGGAGGAGGAGTGAAGGGGGGAGGGAGTGGGAGGGGAGGAAGGAAGGGAAACTGTGGTTGGTATTTAAAATAAATTTAAAAATTGATGAATTAAAAAAAATCATGGCGTGTAAAAATAATGATAATAAACTTTAATATACTTCAAAATGGTCAGGTATAATGTATTGTGAACTGAGTTGCACCATCTTAGCCTTGCATTTATTTAGTGTCATGTGAGTATATTCCAAAAAGTATACTCTAAAAAATGTAAGAAGAAGCTTGCCCCCCACTTAGACTGCCACATATGCAATGTATTTATAAGACTTAACTGTGTCTATAAGAACAGAGTTGGTGAGGCTGTCTATTTACAGTGAGTTAGGAACGCAAATAATCTAAAAATCGTAAGAGGATGGGCTTGAGATACATGGCTTTAGAGCTTGTACTTGGAAGGCGAAGGCTAGGGGATTGTGTCTGGCCAGGCTCAGTTGTTTGATTGTTTGTTTTTATAGACAAATAAAAATTATAAGTCTGAGATAGTGAAAAGGCTCCTAAGAGTGCCATGGGAAATGAAAGTCTATATCATGAGCACTGAACTACCCCATTAGAGGAATCTGTATTAAACTAACGACTTTTACAAGTAGATTTCTTTTTCTTTCCTTTTTATTTTAAACTACAAGTGAGTGTAAGGAAGACTCTTCAAAATGTATGTTTTATAGGACACATGTTTATTTTTAAGTATTGAGCACTGTGTGATAATAGGCAAGGGTACACCAACAACATTTTGCCTTTCTGAGAAATGCCAGGGTCGGGTCTGATGTGAGGTTGCATGAGTAGATGAAGAAAGCAAGAAGCCTTAGAGAATTGCTCAAGAAAGTGCAGAGTAGTAGCTGTACATTGAAGACTTCGTGTTTTTTAACATTTCTCTATTTACTATGCATACAGTGGTCTGTCTGCATGTATGTCCATAGGTCGGAAGAGCGCATCGGAACTCATTACAGATGGTTGTGAGCCACCATATGGTTGCTCAGGACCTCTGGAAGAACAGTCAGTGCTGTTAACTCCTGAGCCATCTCTCCAGCCCTCATTAAAGACTTTAACATAAGCACAGTAAATGTGCTTAGGGGGCTGGCAAGATGGCTCAGTGGGTAAAGGCACTTGCCTCCAAGCCCAACAACCTGAGTGTAATGTCTAGTCCCTACACGATGGAAGGAGAGAAGCAACTCTCAAGAGTTTTCTTCTTGACTTCCACATGTATACTGTGGCACATCTGCATGCCTATGCGTGAACACATATACATACATGTAGAAACATTGTTTAGCTTGTGTCTTGGTTAGGGTTTATTGCTGTGAAGAGACACTGTGATCATGGCAACTTTTATAAAGGAAAACATTTAATTGGGGCTGGCTTACAGTTTCAGAGGTTTAGTCCATTATTGTCATGGTGGGAAGCGTGACAGCGTGCAGGTAGATGTGGTACTGGAGAAGGAGCTGGGAGAGCTACATCTTGATCTACAGGCAACAGGAAGCAACTGTGACACTGGGCGTAGCTTGAGCACAGAAAACCTTAAAGCTCACCCTCACAGTGACACACTTACCTAACAAGGCCACACTTCCTAGTAGAACCACTCCCTATGGGGGCCATTTTCTTTCAAACCACCACAGCTTGTTAAAATCAATCCTTAATGAATTAATTATAGAAGGATCATAATTTTGCTTGATCAGACTGTTGTATTTTCTAATGAAAGGTGGCCCTTAGGTGACTGTTTCTCTGATACAGAATGATCCAGTCTGAATTTAAGCAGTTGGGAGTTTGACTGTTGGAAAGTTACCAGAAAGACAGTAAGTTTATTTTCATCTACTTGTTATATAGGAAATGTCAACAGGTGTCTCCAGGTGAAGGTTACTGTGTCATGATTATTGTCTTCATTGAGGGTTAGATTAATGATCGGTTAATTACATTGCTAAATGTTTTTGTTTAGGTGCTGAAAAGTTTTCTGTAGATGACTGAGAGAAATAACACTGCATTCTCAACCTTGTTTCGTAGCTAGAACATGAAAATGCCCAGCTAAGAAATATAAATTTCTCCTTGTCTGAAGCCCTTCATGCACAGTCGTTGACAAACATGATCCTGGATGATGAAGGCGTCTTGGGCAGCATTGAGAATTCTTTTCAGAAGTTTCACGCTTTCCTGGACCTCCTTAAAGATGCTGGGTATATCTGTAGGGTGGGCATTCTTTCTTCAGTGGTTTTAATGGTAGCTTGCTAAGGAACTCGGCATTTCTTAGCTTCAATGACACATGTTACTATGTGTTTATCAACAATATGTTTGATTTGTTTTTTAATAGAGAATTTGTTTTAAAAGAAATACAAAGTGATAAACTTTCTCATTAGAAATCCATCATAAAGAGGTATTGAAGAGTAATTGGTCTTGATGAAGACTAAATTAATATCATTGGGCATATGAATTCTATAATTTTGTCTGCTATAAATATACCCCTTGACATGGTCAAAAAAAAAAAAGACTAAGTTAAGGATTTTTTTTTTTTGGTTTTTCCAGACAGGGTTTCTCTATAGCTTTGGTGCCCGTCCTGGAACTAGCTCTTGTAGACCAGGCTGACCTCGAACTCCCAGAGATCCACCTGCCTCTGCCTCCCAAGTACTGGGATTAAAGGCGTGCACCCCCCCCCCCCCCGCTAAGGATAATTTTTATTAAAAGTATTTAGAATATATAGATTTCTTGCCTTTTATTCATTTTGCTTGTTAAGTAAGTTTGAGTCAAGTTTTTTTTTTCCTTTAAGATTTATTTATTATGTGTACAGTGTTTTATCTGCACATATGCCTGAAGGCCAGAAGAGGGCACCAGGTCTTATTATAGATGGCTGTGAGTCACCATGTGGTTGCTGGGAATTGAACTCAGGACCTCTGGAAGAGCAGCCAGTGCTCTTAACCTCTGAGCCATCTCTCCAGCCTGAGTCAAGTTGTTCTTGTCCCTAGGCTTTGGGATGGTAGTTAATCTCCAGGGGCAGTGGTTCTCACCTGAGAATAGGAGGGTCAAAGGAAGATGCCACTCAGGCACCTGTGTGGTGGAGGAAGGAGGATCAAGAGTTCAGAGTAACCCTTAACTACATAAACATTTGAGTCCGGCTTGTGCTTTATGAGTCTCAAAATCAAATCAAAAAGAAAGCTGAAGATAGTTGATGGAGCAGTGTTTTAGGGGAGTAGGCCAGGGCTAGGAAAGAGGGTCACATACATGGAGATGGTAGAGGTTGAAGCTACTGACACTGTTTAAAATGAAGGAATGATGGTTGCTATGAAAATCAAGTGAAATTAATGTGTTGTTGAGGTGAATAGGAGTGCTAAGAGCGTTGGATGATCTGATCTAGTGGTCTCAGCATGAGCAAAAGGCGGCAGTTGGCCTGGGGCTGTTGTCTGAAGTAGGTTCTTGGCTTCTGAAGTTTTAAATCTTGGTGTTCATTTATACATGTATTTCATGCTTGCAGGTGTGGGTGAATTTCGTTGTTCCTAAGTGATTGCCTTTTCCTCCTTTCTTCCTCTCTGCAGACTTGGACAGCTTGCCACTATGGCTGGTATAGATCAGTCCGATTTCCACCTAATAGGTCGTCCTCAGATGAATTCTACCGTTAGTGCAGCTGTGGAAGACCAGAGAGCCCTGGAGGAAGAAAAGCTAGACCTGAAACAGACTCCTGGGGGACAGGTGCAGAATATCCAAGTAAGTGGACCCACAGACCTTGGCTCAAGTCATTAGCAAGAGTTCCCCAGGGCAGAGAAAGGAATGATGGTCTGTCTCTCTAGTGGAGTTAAGTTTGTGTCCATTTCCTGAAATTGCATCACTGTCAATTAAAAAATGGGGCCAGGCATGGTGGCGCATACTTTTTATCCCAGCTCTTGGGAGTTAGGGACAGGCAGGTGCCTGTGAGTTTGGGGCCAGCCTGGTCTACATAGTGAATTTCAGATCAGCCAAGGCTACATGATGAAACCTTATCTCAAAATTTTAAAAAAAAAGGGACAAAACTGGAAGGTTTTTGATAATTTGTACTTAGAATAAGTTATCTTTAGTAAAGAAAGAAATCAAAGCGTAAAATAATAGAGATTAAAGTTTTTTAAATTTCTGTTATATTCATGTCTCGTCTAGGTCTCTATCTGTATGCAGTCAGCTTACAATGAAGGGACACTGATGAAGGTACAGGTACCGGTGCAGAGAGCTCTAAACAGTGATCTAGACAGACCTAGCAAGCAGTCTCTCACAGTTGCTCGGTTACTGGATGGGGTGGGCTGGCCATCACAGGACCTCTGATGTGTTTTTACCACGAGCCCCATTAACCAGTCTAAGACTCATCTGAGGAGCTGCTGGCTTGAGAACTCCGTCATGTCACACATTGGATACTTCTCACATATACATAGAGGCTAGAAACTTGGTTTTTGTTTTTTAAATGTGGAAAATGGAGGGTAATGATATAAAGCACAAAATTCTAAAAATACTGCACAGCTAACTCTGGAGGGGTGTGTGTGTGTGTGAGTTTTGAGTTGCCAGTCACATGGCTTTGTATAATTAGGAAAATGAATGACCATAAAATCTTCTGAGTGGTAGGCTGACTGCTGAATAAGATCACAATTACAGGACCAGACAGGTAGCCTGGCTTACGAGAGCTGCTGCTCATCCGTAGGACTTGAGTAGACTCGTCAGCATCCATGTTGGGTGGCTCCCCAGCACCTGTAACTATAGCACCTTGGGAACCTCTGCAGTCATGTATGCGTCACACACATACATATAACAACATGAGAGCCTCTGCAGTCATGTACACGTCACACACATACACACCCCTAACTGACAATAATAAAAAGTAAATCTGGAAAGCTCAGAACAGCGAAGTTTCCAGCTCTTTAGCGGCTCACTTTGTTCATTCAAGCTTTGTTTCCCCTGCAGTTTCAGAAGATTAGAAGTGATGCTAGGATTCCTTTGCCTCTTGACGCCTTCCAAGTTCCTGTTTCTGCACGAGAGGCAGCGGTGGCCTCCAGAGACAGCCTAGGAGTCCCAGCCCCTGAGCAACTGGAGGGCCCTGCAGCAGGCCTTGCTGCTAGAACAGGCTCTCCTTTAGCAGATGGCACCTCTGGAAGCGGGAGTCAAAGGGAAGAAGTTGTGTCGTCTAGACACAGCAGATCTTCAGAGAAAGGCAGTGTGGCGAGCAAGCGCTCCACTGAGAAACACTCTGGGAAGGACCAGCTTTCTATCCCTGACTCCCCTGTGAACTCACAAAGCAAAGGAACCGGGGACAAAAGGTCTTTGCTTAATGAGCCGACTAAAAGTGAATCTTTGAAAAAACACGTTTCTGTCAAGAAGGAAAACAGAATAGTGACTGTCTCATCCAAGACAATCAGAAGTAAATCCAATCCTCTAGAACATTCTGAGAGTGATACTGTTGGGTCTGATTTTGAATTTCAGGAAAGCGTCCATTCATCGGCACACCTGACGTAGGTCTAACCTTTGAAATTATGATTTTACCTTCAAATTTTAATAAATTTTCTTACGTTTTTACTATAATGTGCGATACCTTAAAATACAGAGTTGGAACCACTATAAGGCAATTTATCTATGCTATTATTTAAAATCCATATTTTTCTTTTCCCTCACATAATTCATTTGGCACATAGTTATGGAAGGCCTAGTTTATAAGACACTTTCTGGGTGTGGTGGCTCCCAGCGATAAGATTTTACCTTCATGGAGATGCTACTGTGTGGAGGATAAAACCCCAAATCCCCCCTAAATCCTGCTGCTAGAAAGGGACAAGGCTGGTTTAGCTCATGGTTGCAGCATTTGGTTAAGTGTAGAAGCAGAAGTCACATGCTTCTACAGAACCTACTTCCATATCCTAACTCCTAAGCAGAGCATCAGGCGTCTTTCTAGGTCCTTCACTATGGCTAAGTTTTAGTAAGGGTTTGCCAGGCCTTTTTATAAATGAGTTGGAGGAAGCGGCCCGTGAGCAGCCCGGGGTTGTAACAGCTTGGAAGGAGCTGGTCCAGTTGAAGTTTGGACTGGGTCCAGTGCCCTGAATCATTGAATTATCCTGTCTCCCAGCTATGAACAGGATAGCACAAGGGAGATGCCAAAGAAAAGCCACTGGGGGGGGGGGGGGCTGGAGAGATGGCTCAGCGGTTAAGAGCACTGATTGTTCTTCCAGAGGACCCGGGTTCAATTCCCAGCACCCACATGGCAGCTCACAACTGTCTGAAAATGCAGTTCCACAAGATCTGTCACCTTCACACCAATGTACATAAAATAAAGTTAAATAAATCATTTAAAAAAAAAAAGAAAAGCCACTGGGCACCAACAGTGCTGGAGCAGGGCTATCAGAGGCACATTTGTCCCCTCCCCCATCTGGGCAGAGGACATAAGAGCATGAACTGACTTTTAGGCTAATGTCCTGCCTGGCAAAACACAGCCTCTACTAGAGCCAGGCTACGTCAGCGGTGAGATGTGAGAAAAGCTAGGGCATTCATTCTCTTGTAGACTGCCCTGCCCGATCGATCGTTAAGGAGGCTGTGGATGGAGTATCACAGGGACACAGGAAAACTGCCCAAGACATCATCTCAGCCCTTCAACAGAAGGGAAGACATGCAGGAGTCTTATACAGTATCATAGTGTTCAGTTTGTGGGGGAGGGAGGCCGTCTAAAGAGAATAAAGGTTGTCTTCATCTAAGAAGTGGCCACGGCACATCCTCCGTGGAGTTCTTACCCGCTGGTTAGAGTCTGGTGACTAAGGAAATGAAGAGAGGAGACCCCTGAGACGGGAGCAGCACACACTGGTACTGAGCCAACTACAGACACAAGTTTTCACCCACTGAAGCTATACGGGCAGAGGCCGGGAGACCACAGAAGATCTTAGCACATGGGGGTAGGAAAAGGGAGCAGAAAGCCAAAATTACATTAGGGGTTCCATTTTTATTTTTAGCTTTTTGGTGCATGAGATTTCAGGATTGAGGCCTCAAATGCCCAGGTTTACATTTTAAAAACCTGTGGACTATGTATTAAAGTGCAGGTGAGTTTTCTTTACTTTTCTTTAATCCCGAGGGCTGGAATGAAAGGCATGTGCTGCACTACCCAGCTATGTTTTTTTTTATTGTTGTTTTTTGATAATTGGGGTTTTCATTGTTTTGTTATTTAGTGTGGTGTGTGTGTGGTGTGTGTGGTGTGGTGTGTGTGTGGTGTGGTGTGTGTGTGGTGTGTGTGTGTGTGTGGTGTGTGTGTTGTGTGTGTGTGGTGTGTGTGTGTGGTCTGTGTGTGGTGTGTGTGTGTGGTGTTTGTGGTGTGTGTGGTGTGTGTGGTGTGGTGTGTGTGTGTGGTGTTTGTGGTGTGTGTGGTGTGGTGTGTGTGTGTGGTGTGTGTGTGGTGTGTGTGTGTGGTGTGGTGTGTGTGTGTGGTGTGTGTGTGTGGTGTGTGTGGTGTGGTGTGGTATGGTGTGTGTGTGTGGTGTGGTGTGGTATGGTGTGTGTGTGTGGTGTGTGTGTGTGTGTGTGTATAACATGGGCTATGGAATGAAGCCGGGGCTTGGCCACACTAGATCATCAGCATCCCTGAGCTGTGTCTCATAGCCCTCTCCTGTATTGGCGTAAATGAATGCAATGCAGATATTAAAGAATATTTTTTAACAATCTTTTTATTTATTTATTTATTAAATAAAGAATATTTACCACTTTAATGATAAACTTACAGAACCGAAGTTCCCGCATAGCACAGGAGGTAGGAAGGAAAAGGGGAGGGCGCAGCCTCGCTCGATTTATCCGTCCACAAACTCCGCCCCCTAAAGGGGCTGACTTAACCCTACATTCTCCTACCCTCACCCTGCTCTAATTAGAAGTATATGCCAGCCTGTAATTTGCTTTTGCTTTTCACTTTTTGTTGGTGGAGAGAGATTTTTAGATGTGTTTATTTTGTTTCATATGTTTGAATGTTTTGCCTGCACACATTTCTTTAGAGAGGCTTTCGTGGGTTGTTAAATAGAATGTGTACTCTTTGGTGTTTGGGTAGAGTATTCTGTAGATGTCTGTTATATCCATTTGATGTCTGGTGTTAATTAATTTTGATGTTTCTGTTTGCTTTTTGTGTGGATGACTTGCCTATTGGAGAGAGTGGGGCATTTATTGGCTATTGTTGGGTTGGTGTTAGTCTGTGCCTTAATTCCAGAAGTATGCTTTTTATGAAATTGTGTGCATCAGAGTTTTGTGCATAAATGTTCAGGATAATAATTTTTCTTGATTAATTGTTCCCTTGATTAGAATAAAATGCCCCCTCTCTCTTACTTTTATTCTAAAGTCTGTATTTGTTGGATGGTAGGCTAGCAACAAGCTGTTCTGCTGGCAGGCTGTTCAACCATGAGGAAAGCCAGTAGGGAAGCTGTGCAAGCCGGTGCACCACCGTGGAATGGCTCTGAATGTACAATTAGAATGTGCGGAGATAGCAGAGCCCGGTTTGTAGTAGCTATAAGAAATATCTAGGGGAAACACTGTGAAATCAGGAAGGTTTATTACAATGTTTAAGTGACAGATATTAAAGAATTAGTGATAGTTCTGCAGATAATATGGTCATTTTCAGTCACTGTTAGAAGTATTCGTTGATATATATATTTTCCGAAATAGGGTTTCTCTGTAGCTTTGGAGCCTGTCCTGGAACTCTCCCTTGAATTTGCAGAGATTCTCCTGCCTCTGCTTCCCAAGTCCTGGGATTAAAGGCGTGCACTACCACCACCCAGCTGATAATTTTTTATATGGACAATTTGGCAGTTATGCAGTATTTAAAATGTGTCTTCCTTGTTCTAACTGTAGCCATGCAGCATAAAGAGATAGTCATGCAAATGTCCAAGGAGCCGGGTGGGAGAGTGTATGCAGAAGCATTCTTAAAACTTGGGAAACATAATGGCACATGAATGTAGGAACTGTTGAACCAGTGAACACCAGCCTCTGCCGTGTAATATTCTGCAGCACGTAAAACATGGTATAAAAATGTCCCTAAACACACCGAACTGACGGCACCATAGTCAACCATATCCTTTGGCTTGCGCTCATGTGGTTCAAGCCTGTTTACATCTGTCTACTGTGTATACTTTTGTCTGTGAGCCCAGAAAATGGCAACAAAATATCCAGGGGTTTCTTTGGCCAAAGGCAGATGTGTTAAGGGGTGGGAATGACAGGTGACTTTACATTTGACTCACTTAGGGTTACTTGATTTTTTTTTTTAAATAAGCGTGTTTTTATGTGACAGGTAAATCTGTAATTCCCTCCCCCCCAGACAATTTGCAAAATGCAAATGAATAATGACCTGTTATCCTTGATTCCGTGCGTCCACCCTTTCTTTCTGTTTCATTGAATTCCTTATCTACATGAACGTAAAAGAGTTTAAAACCTTTAAGAAGGGGGCTGGAGAGATGGCTCAGAGGTTAAGAGCACTGACTGCTCTTCCAGAGGTCCTGAGTTCAATTCTCAGCAACCACATGGTGGCTCACAGCCATCTATAATGAGATCTGGTGCCCTCTTCTGGCCTGCAGGCATACATGGAAGGAATGTTGTATACATAATAAATAAATAAATCTTTAAAAAAAAAAAAACCTTTAAGAACAACCAGGTTGTGATCCCAGCATTCAAGGGTCAGAGAGGCAGGGGGATGACTGAGTTCAAGGCCAGCCTGGTCTACTGAGTGAGTTCCAAACAGCCAGGGCTACAGAGGAAGAAACCTCATCATAAACAACAACAACAAAACCCTCTAAGAACTTGGGGTCCACAGTGTTGATGTATTTTCAGTCAAAAAATAATGCTTTCTGTGGTGAAAGAAAGGAGATGAAGGCTGGGACTGTAGCTCTGTGGAGCGCTTGCCTGTGTTGAAACCCTGCCTTTGCTCCCGCCCCACCTGCCTGTGCACACAGGAATGGAAAATTCCATCAAGCAAGGCTGTGCATCCCATGACTCACACAGATAGGGGCTGTTCTAGTTTGTGTCCACGGCTTACTGTTTCACAATCTGCCACAGGTCACATCCTGCTGTTTGAAGAGTTTACTCTCTGGACCCTGACAAAGCTGTTTCTCGAGCACAACTCGGTTCCATTTTGTGAGCAAAAGGCATTGCCACATGGTTGTCTCGCTTCCGGAGCCTTGCTCTCTTGAGCTCTGTGTTTTTCAACAGGCCATTTTCATTAAAGTCTCCCAAAAAATTCTCTTGTAGACTAAAAGCTTTCAAAGTGACACACGTTTCTGAGCGCTTTCAAATTCTGTTTGGACAAAATGAAGAAGCAGAAGACTGTGGTGGAGGACACTCACCAGGCATGCCCCATCCCCAACAGGCACTGATTGCCTGGGAGGGAAAGCCTCTGATGAAGGCTCATTTCTAAGTACAGAATGTAAATTTCAAACCGGTGTAAACTTACAAAAAGAAACATGTACTTTAGAAATAGATAAGGCCCCCTCCTCCTGGATGGCATAATCATTAACTTTGTTCAGGGAGGCCTGCGGAGATGGAGTGTTTGTTCAGCGTTTCAGAAAGATAGTCCTCACAAT